GGCGTATGTTCATGGCCAAAACGAACATACTAATGAGAACTGAAATGTGTTAGGAAGAATCCTGTGTGAAGTGTATCATCGTCTACATAAACGGTAGAATAGTTCAAGTACATCGCGTCTACTGGTCAGCCAGTGAAGTAAATATACTTTCACAAGCGAAGGTTCAAAGGGTAACACCTACCTATCGTATGCAGGTTTCAACTGTTGAACTATATCACCAAGTCGTCATGTGTCACATGCATGAGTCGCTCTCAATTTTCATTCATGTGGGGGATTGTTGGAAAAATTGGCCGACTTTGGCACGAGTTTTGAGTGGGACCCTGTTGTTCAATTTGGAAGATGAAAGTTGATTTGTGTTCTCCTCCGTGAGTACATCGAAATCATATACTTACTTGCCAAAGTTGATGCTCAGGTGAATGAGAAATTGAGGCACAAAGTGTGCCACTCAAAAGGGAGTTTATGTGGGAAAAATGAATTTGTCCCACATAGGAAAAAGATGTGGAACTCCAAAGGTCATTGCCATTAATGGTAGCTTAGCCTATAAATAGTGGCTCATTTTCCTCATTTCAACACACAAAAAACAAAAAAAACAAAAAAACAAAAGTTTTCAAGTTTAGAATACACTAGAAATTCATTTGCATAGAGTTCTCTCTTGGTGGTGGTGTAGTTCAGGCACTAGTTCAGTTCGCCGGAGTGGTTTCTGCGGTGCTCGGAAGCTACTGGTTTTACCGTTGTATCTGGACGCTCGTTTTAAACTTCAAGCACGGACGGTGAGGGGGTGAATCTGTTTTAAGGAAACTGTGTGTAACACAGGCCTCGGGTTAAAATTATATGTTTCAGTTGTTTAATTCATGCAATTTTTCGTATTAAATTTATAGTCCATGCTTCATGAATTTATGATATATTGTTCGTATGCTTCATGAATTTTAAATTCTATTGGAACAAAAGTTATTTGTTGGAAATAAAACTTTCAATGATCTGGTGAAAATTCGATATACGGTTGTTTGAATTTTGTTGATTTGCATAGTTGCAAAATTGAAAGGCTTTGTCAAAAAGACCTAAACTATCTAAGAAGAGCTTGGCATTTAAGCGGTCCGGTTGTGACCCCCTCCTCATCTGGGAGTCTTTTAATTGCGCATTATTCAAATTGACGAGACGAAAGACAACATTTCCCGATTTTATCCACATACACTGAATTTCCTACAGTTTCATATGAGAATGCCCACAATGATAAGCATTTAGATACAGAAAAGCCTCCTATGAAGACTTCATCTGGTGCTCTATATTTGAATGGACAAATTCTTGCAAATGGCACAGAGGAAAATGGTGAATTGCATGAAAAGTTTGCTGGAGAAACCGATAGTGAATCTGGGAATGACACCAGCACGTTGATAGTGACGATGAAGAGTCAGATGAAGGTGAAAGTGACGATAATTATGAAGATAGAGGTGAACATACTTCTGATGGGGACAATGAAGTGCACGTTAGGCAGAAGTGATGCTCACAGGAAAAATTGATGTTATTCATTCATTCCAGAAAGGTGGGGAAAATGTCGGAGAAAGAGAAATTATTGGCTTATTGATTCAACATGGTGATGTATTTAAAGTACTTCTCGGTTCCAGCTTACACATCTTGCCCTACCTACTTAATCCAAGGGTGGCGAAGAGAATGAGGCAGTTGCTAATTTCATACAAAGAAGACATCTAAACCTTGAACTTTGATGACAATGTTAATTTAATAGGAAGGGATGTCATGGCTCCCACCTGTGCTCACCAACTCGCTAATCCTTTTGGGCGGAGCTTCCTGTGCTAAGCTCCCATTATGAGAACCTTGAGCGAAGCAACTCTGTTGCTATATCAAGTGGGGAAGGAATGATACCGGATCAGATAGGAAGAAAAAATGGGAAGAAGTTGAGTGGATTAAAATGTCAGTTTCCTATTAGTCGATCTGGGGACAAGATCAAGGTGAGAGGAAGGGTTGTCAGGTGAAGAGTAATTGAGGAATAAGAAGAAGCAATACTGAAAGGAGGAAGAAGAAGTCCAACAGCAATTAACAGAATTTGGAAATTGTTTCACGCTTTATCACTTTCAGTTGGGTCAATGCGACTTTTAATTGAACATAGGGATATATCACAGCCCAGGTGCAAAGGGGAAGTCTGTATTGTTTTGTCAGATTTTCAATGAAATTGTTGATTGAATCAACAGCTTTTCTCCCTCCTCTCTTATTCGTTTTACATCATTTATCCTATTTCCATTCTGCTTTTTCTTTTATTTGGTTACTACTTTAGCTGGTTCAGCTGAGAAACTTCATTGATCGATCTCTGGACGCTTAAGGTTGCAAGGTGAAATTCATCTCATAACAAAGAACCATAAGCATATACATTAGGCTCAATCTCTCTGCTCTTCTTCTTTTTTAGCAAGTCGAATGCTTCATCACTGACTCGCCAAATTGATGACATGTTAATTTAAAATGACATCTCAATAATTATTTGGGTAGACATCAAATTGAATAACAAAAATTAGAGAGCAAATCTCAACTTCCATTTTATAGGGTCTAAATCCAAGTCAACGAATAATTTTAATTATATAATTATGGGATTTACAACTTTCTACCACACATTTCTTCAATTTTATAAGAGTACTAAAAATTTGATTTTAAGAACCGCCACCAAACATGGGCTAAATATTGAAAAATAGCCTAGAAAAAGTGATACAATAGAAAAACTCATTATCACTTTAGATTTGTGGACTGAAAATAACCCACAAGGTAGGTTTCTCAATTGTATTCATCCGGACCATTCTTAAAAAAGTTGAACCCAATCTTGAGGCCCCCCACCATCCCGTCCCTAGAGCTTTGTGGGGGAGGTAAATTGTGGGATGTGTCCCAACAGGCCAGATAATAAAAGCTGCCTGTACACTATGCCTACAAGGGGTCCAATTCCATGTCTCAGAAATCGTACCCCCACACTGCGACTGTCAGCAAGACGTGAAATAATCTCACTCATATCCTTTACACCACTGAGCTATGCCCCGGAGGGCCCATCAAGACCATTCTTACTGTCATGTAGGATGGTTTTGGTCGTCAATGGCCACGTTAGTGTTTGTCTAACAATGTGATAAAATTGAACAAAATGATCTAAATTGAAATAAATTTAAAGTAACTCAATTGAAACAAATTAAAATATAATAATTTAGTCGATACAAATAAAAATTTACTCCAAAACTATCTCAATTACAATTTTAATTAAGTTTTCATTAACCTACCTGTTAGACAAAGATTTTCACTAACAAAAGTATATTAGATTATCACTAAAGATTAAAGAAACATTTGGAGGATTAAATCAACAAAAAAACCATTTCCCCAATATTTGAGGCTTGGAACTAACCGTGTAATTCAAAATGTCTGAATCAGAGAGTGCCTTCGTGCAAAAAGCAGGGTAAAAAAATCTGTTATGATTTACTTTCTTCAATTTACATTTTTATAGTTGCAAAACTGGGGTAAATAAAGCGATGTAGATTTTGAAAAAAAAAATAAAAAATAAAAAATTTAGCATTTCAAACTTTAAGTCGTATAACACAGGTCGTGAAACCCCATTAATAATTGAGAAATGCTATAGGTACAGTATTGTTGACAGCCCTCTCACATTCAAGGGTGAGGCCCACAATTAAAATAATCACGAGCCCCATGTTTTGTGAGAGGGCTATGAAAAAAAGAGTGTACACTAACATTTTTATTAATAATTTGCAAATAGGGATATTGTGAGTTGTGATCCATTATAAATCTCAGAGAATGATAGATATTATTTGATTTGATTCTTGTCGAATTAAGAAAATTACAAAAGATTAAAAATGTAATGTAGAAAATTTCTGAAAAGTTGATAGATATATAAAAATGGTAGATGAAAATATCGATATCATTAAATTATAAGAAAATTAAAAAAAAAAAAATTTGTGAACAACGTGGATATCATTTGAAAATGAGTCGTTAAAAGCTAGAATTGAACTTTCGATCGAGCCTTGTACTTAAGATCCTATGGATGAAGACACAGTCACACTAATCTTATTCAGAGGAGTAGCCTTATAAAGATCGTATTGATTAAAATTACATGAGGTTGTTCAAACATGCACAAGTCGACTAAAAGCTATTCCGGAGCAATTGGGTTTATGGATTTTCAATTTATGTGGCGTCGTAGTATGGGTCCTCTAGTCGAGGAGATATTCACCTGTTTAATTGACCGTGCTACCAATAAAAAAATTTACCGCTCACCAAATGTAAGAAGGAAATTTGAACTAGATGTAAAATGGCTAAAGTATCATTTTAATATTATTAAATATTGTATAATGATCCTACTATCACGTCATCAAATCATGGGTACTTGGTGAACAATTCTAAAAAGGACAAAAATAAAGGTTATTACCTATAAAAGCATAATGAGAAAAATGTCCATAAACGATAAGGATATTGAAGATCAGATTGCGAAAAAAAAAAAAAAAAAAAAAAAAAAAAACACAATCTATTTACTATTTTTTCCACTCGTATATTATCCTCCCATTCATTTTACACCATTCATCTCTTCTTCCACTATTTCCGCGATGTCAATCATTTTCTTTAAATTGACAAAATAAGAATTATAAATCTCGATTTGGAAAAAGATAAAAAGAATTTAAAGGGTTACAGGGTAAGTCATATTCAGATCGAAATTAAATTAGTAAATAATGACAAAATTGAACAATTGAATTGGAGAATTTTGGTGATTGTACCATACAACTTACTTCAATCGTGACGCTGTTTAAGTTTTATAATTTTTCAAATTTTACCGAAATTATAAAATTGAAATTGTAATTAAAATCTTCAAATCGTACACATAATGCCCCATTTTAAGAATATTCTATGCTAAAATTAAATAAAATAATCTTTCCAATAATTACATTGGTATAGTTGATGAATTATTGAAGAATATCAATGGTAAATTCAAAGAACAAAATTCTTTCTTAAAAGGCGTACTTACATTAAAAGAAATGGTCTGCGAAGCAGCAGAACGGTAAGAAGAAAAAAATCCCAAATAAATCGAAAAAATACGAACCGCTCATTTCGTCACCTGATAGAAACAAAGCAAACGGTCTTCCCACTCCCTGTGCAAGTTAACAATCCCAGCGCACACCATAACTTCCGTTTAGACTCTCTCTCTCTCTCTCTCTCTCTCTGTACAGTCAAATGGAGTCTCGTGTGCTAACCGGCGCCCCCGCCATTCGTGGCTTACCATTTATTCGGAAGCCGGCGGCGAGGTTCACCGCAAGCTGCGGTGCCCCTGCCTTGAAGTCCACAGGAACCTTCAATGATGGCGGGAACTTGATTTGGGGGAATCAGCTCCGTCCAGCTATTCTGCTTGAAGCTTCCGCTGCGGCCGTGGTTTCTCCGGTGACTAAAAGGGAGTATTTACCTCCATGCCCGGCTGCGGCTTCTTCGTCGGCCGAGGGAAGCGATTCATCCGGGTGAGGTCCATTTTTATAGTATCCAACTTATTTGAACTGAACTCTTTTCCAGCTGTAACTGTCCTAAGTTCCTAACCCGTTTCTTACGCAGGCCGGTCGGTTTCTTCCAGAAATACCCGGCTATTGTCACCGGGTTCTTCTTCTTCATGTGGTACGTCACGTGATTTCTCTGATCTGAATACCAATTAGGACTTCGTAACTTATTTACGATTTTCTCTTCACTCTTCCAGGTACTTCCTGAACGTAATTTTCAACATTCTCAACAAGAAGATCTACAACTACTTCCCCTATCCTTAGTACGCATCCCACTGTACATATTGATGTTATTTTTTTCCTAATTACAAACTAAATATTATAAAGATTTGCGCAAGTTGGCGTGATTATGATCGACTTGATTCTCTGTACAGTTTTGTATCGGTTATTCATTTGTTCGTTGGTGTTGCTTACTGCTTGGTTAGCTGGGTTGTGGGACTTCCCAAGCGAGCTGTAAGTTTTTTTATTTTTTATTTTCTTTAACGGCAATTCAAGCTGAATCGTAAATTTTATTTCCATAAATTATATATATTAACTCACACAATAAAAATCCTTTGGCCTGATTTTACTGCCTTGCTATTTTTAGAGTAATAGTTATATGATTTTTTGGATGTTCTTTATGCAGCCAATTGACTCAAACCTCTTGAAGCTGCTCATCCCAGTAGCTGTGTGCCATGCTTTAGGCCATGTAACCAGCAATGTCTCGTTTGCTGCTGTTGCTGTCTCGTTCACTCACACAGTTAAAGGTGACGTTCAACCTAATTCCGAGGATTAATTAAGAAAACTTCTTCTTTATTTTAAATTGAAATTATTTATTTTGCAAAATGTCTCTTATTAATTATGTTTCATTTTGATCAGCTCTTGAGCCTTTCTTCAATGCTGCTGCTTCACAGTTCATACTTGGCCAACAAATACCTTTCACATTATGGTTGTCACTGGCACCAGTTGTTATTGGTAAGCTATAAAATTCTTCCTAAGTTAAAATCAAGAAATTTTTATCCATCAAGTGTCAAAAGGTACTTGTGAATGTTATATCTTATACTTCATTTTCACCATGGTCAATAAAAAGGACTTTTTAGAAGGTATCAAATTTTGCTATACATTTTCTGTAGACTATTTTTCTTGTGGAGGATTCCTTTACATACCCGCGTAAATGACATCTCTAAATACACAGAAAGATGCACCATAATAAATGTAATTTTAACCATCTTTTGTACTTTAACTCTGAATAAAATGCAGGTGTATCGATGGCATCAATGACTGAGCTGTCTTTCAACTGGACTGGCTTCATTAGTGCTATGATTTCCAATATCTCCTTCACTTACAGGAGCATATATTCAAAGAAAGCTATGGTGATATGCGTGATGCACATTTTATTAGATTTTCATTTAATCTTGATTTTATGAAAGATGTTAAGGCAGAGTGCAGTCTGCATTCATACATTGGGGCTATTCTTCTCTAATTAACGATTCTTTTGCAGACCGATATGGATAGCACTAACCTATACGCCTACATTTCTATCATCGCGCTCATCGTTTGTATTCCTCCTGCCATTATCGTGAGTCATGGCCCATAAATGTGGATGTTCTTTTCCTAATATAATGTTTCTTATATCCTCCCCATCTTCGGTTCCTATTTTTTTTATATGACTGTTGTATTGTCTTTAAACATCGCATAGATCGAGGGACCTCAACTACTAAAGCACGGGTTTAGTGATGCAATTGCTAAAGTGGGTTTAACAAAGTTCGTCTCAGATCTTTTCTGGGTTGGAATGTTTTATCACCTCTACAATCAGGTATTTGAGTTTTTGCTTAAGCTTCACATCATGGGATCAATAAAAAACTTGACCCTGACTCCATTTTATTATTACTAAAAACTTTACTCCTTGGTCTGATATGATTTATAATCAAACTTGTTGGTCTGATATGATCTATAATCAAACTTGCTTGATGTGATGATATGATCTTTATCGTTTTCGAAGATTGAAACTTTTCCTTTTCCACCTCTCAGCTAGCAACAAACACCCTTGAGAGAGTGGCACCCCTCACACATGCAGTTGGCAATGTGTTGAAACGTGTTTTTGTGATTGGCTTCACGATTCTAGTCTTTGGTAAGTATAGACACTTATATTTGTGATTTTGCAGGGGAATAAAAAAGTTAGTATCATCTTGTAGTAAGAGAGAATTTTAACTATTTAAACTTTGCAGGAAACAAGATTTCACTGCAAACTGGTATTGGTACTTCCATTGCAATTGCTGGAGTTGCAATGTACTCCTTCATTAAGGCCAAGATTGAAGAAGAGAAACAAGTAAGGCTGACTTCTTGCAAACCCAAACTGATTTGAAGAACGTATTTGTTACGATGGACATGCAGTCCAACATATCAAAAATCCTCAAAATTAACTCTACCATATCGAATATGGAGAATTTGATCATGAAATATATTAGAATGTAAAGGATCCTAAAATTGCATTTTTTAATCTGACATGACATTTGTTTTGGCAGCAACTGAAAAAAGCATGAGAGCAGAGGCAGGAACGTGGAAGAAATCTCAGTGTACATTTCAATATTCTTACGAGACAATTAGTTCCTTTTCTCCGTTGTGTTGTTCTTCGATCAATTTTCTTGAATTTCGTATAATTCATGATAATTTCAAGTCACTTGGTGATGTATGGAATAATGTATAATTTTTGGAGATCAACGTTTTGATCCCTACCTTTGAAAATTTATATGAGGTTAAAAATGTATTACTATTTATAATTTAGAAACGCTCAATGTCATGATGAAACACACACAACAGCCTCTGTTTTGGAAATATTTTTAGTATCTTAAAAGTTACTACTACAATTTTGAAGTCAAACTTTAATTTTAATAATACATTCAAAAATCATTAATCATTGAATAATGTTATTTGCAATCATTTACAACTGCAGTCACCTTGCATGGTATGCATGTAGCGGTTAGTGATTTGATATATGTAACAATAAAAAACTATTACATTAATACATCAAATTACAAATGGTCATGTGAGATGTTATGTAGGGTGATTATTGCAGTGATCGACTATGAATATCATTACTCTTAATTATTATCAACCACATATTTCGTGGTCGCATAAAAAAATGAGTAGAGGTCTTAATATAAATCTCATTTTATAAATATTAATTTAAATTGTAATTTCCTTTCTATTGTAAAATTTTATTTCCTTTATTTGTAAAAGAACCTCGTTGTTGAACAAACTATTTTCAATGTAATCTAATCTTTTGTTGTAAAGTTGTCTATAAATCATCTTTAGTCCCGGATTGACCTACGATAGGTGTAAGATAGTCTAGCGAATAACTACTGTTGCATGGTGCCCTATTCTACGCTAGAAGGCAAGACATCTATTGATATCAGGATTTGGATCCACTTAATTTAATTAAGAATTTTTTTTTCAAACACAAAATATAATAATATTTAACATACAAAAAATATATTTTTTTTCTTTTTCTCCCAAATTTAGTTGTGTTGATTTTGGAAGAAAAACTTATTTTATATCTTAATTCATAAACGTGTGTTACATATATATACATAGAGAAGATGTTTCTCATAAGGAAACAATCCTATCAAAATAAGAAATAATTCTAAACTTATGCACCTACGATATATGCATGTGTTGTGTATGTAAAGAATAAATATAAACCTAAATTGATACATAATTCCATAACACTCCCCCTCAAATTGGAGCATAGATATCAATTATACCCAACTTGTTACAAATATAGTTTACTCGAATTCCGGCTAAAGCCTTAGTGAGCACATCAGCTTATTAATCTCTTGTCTTAACATGCTTAGTCGAAATCAATCATTGTTATAGCTTTTCACGAACAAAATGACAGTCTATTTCTATATGCTTTGTTCTCTCATGAAATACTGGATTAGTGACAATGTGAATAGTTGTTTGATTATCACACCACAAGTTCATAGAGTGAGACGTATCAATGTCAATTTCTCCAAGTAAGTGATGTAGCCGTATAAGTTCACAAGTCACTTGTGCCATAGCCCGATATACAGATTCTGTACTTGATCGAACTACAACACTATTTCTTACTTTTCCAAGAGACTAGATTACCTCTAACGATAACACAATACCCTATAGTAGAGCACCTATCCACGGGAGAACCTGCCCAGTCAGCATCCGAGAAACCCTCAACCCTACAATGACCACGATTTCTATAAAGAATTCCATGTCGTAGAGCTCATTTAAGTTACCTTAATATATGAGTTACGGCATCCCAATGTGAAGTTCTAGGAGATGACATAAACTGACTAACAACATTTATGGTAAACGCAATATCTGGCCGAGTAATTGTATGATAGTTCAACTTTTCCACTATCCTCTTGTACTTGTCTACATCAACAAACACATTTTCGTCTTTTGCTCTGAGTTTCACATTTGGTATCATAGGGGCATCACCAGGTTTTGCTTCAGCTAAACCTGTCTCATCCAGTAGGTTCATAACATATTTCCTTTGAGATATAAAAATTCCTTTACCACTTCGAGATATCTCTATCCCTAAGAAATATTTCAAAGGACCTAGGTCCTTTGTTTGAAATCTTGTGCCTAGGAAAGCCTTTAGCATACTTATGCCACTGCTATTACTACCAGTAATCACAATATCATCAACATATACAATTAACAAAATACACCTAGCTGTAGACCGTTTAAAGAATATTGAGTGATCATATGCACTTCTTTTCAAGCCATATTCAATCACAACCTCACTAAATTTTTCAAACTAGGCACGAGGTGATTGTTTCAGACCATATAATTACTTTTGTAGTTTGCATACCTTCCCTGACTCCTCCTAAGCAACAAACCCTGATGGTTGCTCCATGTAAATTTCTTCGTACAAATCTCCATGGAAAAATGCATTTTTAACATCCAGCTGGTGAAACGACCAATGATAAGTAGCAGCAAGAGAAATGAACAACCAAACAGAAGCTATCTTAGCAATAGGAGAGAAAGTCTTAGAATAATCCACCCCTTAGCAACCAAACAAGCCTTCAATCGAGCAATAGATCCATCACGATTCATCTTGACTGTAAACACCCATTTGAATCTAAAGGAACCAATTCCCATGTGTGATTATGTTCTAGTGCCAACATTTTATCTTGTAAGGCTGCTTGCCAGTCACTATGGGATAAAGCCTCAGAGATAGATTTTTGGTTCGGACATACGCTCTAAGGAAGCAAGGAAAGACTTGGAAGATGGTGACAATGTATGGTCAGAAACAAAAGAAGAGACAGGATAAGTACATGATTGTTTACCTTTTCGGAGAGCAATAGGAAGATCAAGAATAGGATCAAGACGGGGTGAGAAATCTGGAGGCGAAGTAGCAGGTAGAGGAGGTGAGTCATGGACAATATCAGATGCCATCAAAGATTACTGCACACGACAAGTGTAAACATTTCGAATAGTAAGGCGAGAAGATGCTGGTAACACAGGTGTAGTCACAATGTAAATAAGGAAGTTATCCCCAGACTTAATAGAAGATGGATTAGAGAACATAGGAGTACAAAAATTGACATCAACAGACACTAAGTATCGTTCTAAGGAGGGAGAAAAGCATCAATAACCTTTTTGATATCGAGAATAACCTAAAAATATACACTTAAGGGATTTAAGATCAAGTTTGGAAACTTGATGTCTCATATCTTGAACAAAAAAGCAAGTGTACCCAAATATTCTAGGAGTAGAAAGAAGAGAGTCTGAGAGGGAAATAAAATGGAATAAGGGATTTTACCATTTAAAATAGATGAAGGCATACGATTGATTAAGTAACACTTGGTAGAGAATGCATCTGCCCAAATTTTTTTTGAAACTTTCATATGAAAAATGAGAGCTCGTGCGATTTCCAATAAATGACGATTCTTTCATTCTGTCACTACATTTTGTTGTGGAGTAATAATACATAAAGAGTGAAGAATAATGCCATTTTGTCAAAGAAATGAAGTAATTGTCGATGAGAAATACTTCTTGGCATTATCATTTCTTAAGATACGTATAGATTTGTCAAATTGAGTTTTAATCTCAGCGTAAAAGGCACAAAAAATTGAGAATAGTTCATAACAATTTTTCGTAAGATATAACCAAGAAACACGAGAATGATCATCCACGAGAGTAACAAAATAGTGAAAATCAGACTTAGATAAAATAGAACAAAGACTCCAAATATCTGAATGTAATAAATCAAAAAGTGACACAACCCGTTTATTCATTCTAGGAGAATATGACACTCTATGATGTTTTGCTAATTGACATGACTCACAATTTAATTGAGACACTTGACTAAGATTAGGACATAATTGCTTCAAAACAGGGAGAGAAGGATGACCTAAACGATAATGGAGTTGTAAAAGAGATGAAGTACTAGTGTATACAGCCGATCTTGACACCCGTGTAGGAAAAGAATCTAGCACATATAAGCCATTGAGCTCACGCCCTCTACCAATAATCTACTTCGTCCCAAGATCTTTGAAACGCAATGGTTAGGAAAGAAAAGAACATTACAATTGAGGGATTTAGTAATTTGACTCATAGATAAAAAATTGAAAGAAAACTTAAGTAAACATAAAACGGATGACGTTGGTAGAGAGTTTGTTGGATGTGCAGTCTTACATCCAACAACAGAAGTTGTAGACCCATTGGCTAAAGTGACACATGGTATATTGGAAGAGTATTGAAGTGATAAAAGTATACATGTATTCTCAGTCACATGATCTGTGGCACCGGAATCAATGACCCAATAATGAGATGCGGTAAAAAGACACGCTATAGAATTACCCGTGTTGGCTAAAGTGGAAGTGGAAGGTGTAAGAGGCTATTGAGAAGCATAAAATTGTGTAAGGTGAGCATATTTATCTACTGGAATTGTAATTTGAGGCTGAGTAGAAAGTGTAGGTAAAAGACCATTCTGAGCGGCAACATTTACAAACTTTCTCATGGGAGTTTGGCTTGTGTTCTTTGTTGGTTTACCATTCAATTTCTGACAATTCTTTCTAATATGTCCTTGCTCTCCACAATAATAACAACCACGAGAACCACAGCTAGAAATTTTATCTCAACTACCTCCTCATCCTCCTTTATTATTGTAATTGTTATTTAGTTTTGAATTTGTGCCAACCAGAGCTATTGTCTCATTTGGTACTATACCTTGCCCCTTGTCATTGTCCTTGCATAAACGAAGGAGACAATCATATATATCACTCAATGAAGGTAGTGCCTCATTGGTAAGTAATCGAGTACGAGTCACCTCATATTCAGGACCCTATCTTGCAAGAAAATACTAAACCACAATATGCTCTTCTTGTTCTTGCATCTTCTTCACATCACTAGTAATAGGAAATATAGCTTGGTTTTCTTCAAATGCTTGTTTTACTTCAGTATAATATTGAAACAAATTTCCCCCCTTTTACTCAGCCTGATAAATTTTTAGCATTAGTTCATGAACATGTGATACATCATGTTTACTAGCATACATAAACTCTTGATAGTCCCACAGTTCTTTCACAGTATCACAATGATTAATAACATCATCAACTGTCGGGTCAAGGGTATTCTGAATCTGATTAAAGAGTTTATCATCCTCCATCAACCATTTTTTTCGAATCCCCGGATTAGTATTAGAATGTGGAGATAGGTCATCAATCAAATGGTTTCCCAAATCTAAACTTGATACATACATACGGACAATTCTCTTCCATTGAACATAATTTCT